AAAAGGTCGCTGAGGAGTCCATGCCTTTTGGGGATTATGACACCTTGACGGTTTATCAACTTTTATTAAAAAAGCTCTTTTTTCCCATAACTCGCACGCGTTTTAATATTTTATTTTCGTTTTTTGGAAAATGTTACCTTGAATAATGAACTTTAATTTGGTTGGAAAAAAGAAAATTTAGAAAAAGTAGCCCCGTGCAGGTTTGAAGTAACCTTAAGTTTGCGTCGTGCCAAATCCACCTTGGAAGGATTCGCTCCAAAAGATGCCGCTCGGAAAACTGAGTTTTTTTGCATACATTATTTCTTGAAAACAAAGTGCAAATCAACAAAACCAATTACGCAACAATGCTTTTCATGTCAAAACAAGTCAGTCTGCCAAAAATTAGCTCGATCCTGCAGAAAATAAAAATCGACCCAAAATGTCACATATGCCCTTTTTGCACGAAATCCTTCAATTGAAGTACTGTTACAGTGTTTGTCTCAAACAAAAGGTTTGTTTCTTAGCCAATTTGAGGTAAAGCTGAAATGCTTTGTGCTTTTTGCCCTCTTGGAGCAAAGTTTCTTGCCTGGTACAATGGTAAGGATTCCCACCTTCCAATTTAGTGGACCCTCACTAAATTCCCATACCTAGGTTTTTTTTTTAGTGGGCTTATGCATTATAAACGCATGTATGTATGTATGTGTGTGTGTGTGTGTGTGTGTGTGTGTGTATGTATGTATGTACGTACGTACACAGGATCACATGTGACAGACCTTCAGGAGCATATTTTGCCTCATAGGTACAGTAGACTGGGTACTAGTAATTTTCAGTGTTCCTTCGCCAGGTCCTTCGGTGGCAGCCATTGCCAGTGTTCTGCAGCTTTTGTTGGGCATCTCCTTTCATATCATGTTGTCCACCCCCTTATTTGTTTTGAATAATTCTTGTACAGCTTACAGCTGCAAGTTTAGTGGCAGTTTTCAATTGTTCTGTTGCAGTCATTATTTGTTTTGTTTTTCTCCTTTCATTTAACACAAGAGCTTATCTGAGAGGCAAATGCTGCCTTAAGGTAAATGTTTAAGAAAAGAAAAAATTAAGTCTATAAAAAGGGAAAAACTAGTGATACAATCTCAGATAGTGCAGAGTGCAATTGATAGCTCTAGCACAGTAGTCCCATAAGTATTCACCCCTGCTTGGTTCACTTCCAGTTTGTATCTACCTTGGTAGTCTGCTAGGGCTTTTTCCCTTAGCAGTGTGTACATTTCAAGGTTGTATTTTCAAGGTCACGACAGCTTTTAAATTTTACTCTGGTGTTTTACGATGATTTTCATTCATTTTAAATTCAACAATACATTGAACAAAC